TGCAATATAACAAAGAGTGAAAAATTGAAGGGGGTCTGAATACTTTCCGTACCCACTGTATATGTGTGTGTGTGTTATTACATATTTAAAACATGTATATAACCGAGCCAAGTGTTTTGTTTTGATTTGATAAGACTCTCACCTATTCTGAAATCTGAGGTGATCTTGGACATTTCCTTCATCAGACTAGTCCCTAGATTCTTGACGTTCTCCAAGTCATCCTTCATGGAGTAGGACAGGTCCATCAGATAGTACAGGTCTATGGGATAGTCTTCAGCCCTCTTGAACTTCAGTTTGATATTCTGAGGTTCCCCTATAGGAATAACACAAACAAATCCATTAGTATTCCCAAAATTACTCGCACAGATCAATAAAAGCCAACAAGGACTTCAGATTGTGAGTCGGCACCGGATCTGAGGTTGAGGCTGAGTTTCTGAGGCTGGATCTGTGTAATGTCCTCGGGTCGAAGTTTCTCTGCTCCTTTCTTGCGGTTGGTCACGGCTTTGTTCTTGAGGATCCTTTGGCTCCCGTGAGGGTTCTCGATCTTGGCGGTGGCGCAGCCTCTCTTCCTGAGCGACTCCAGCTCATCACAGCGCGCCGACGTCGGCTCGCCCTGCTTCAGAAACTCCTGCTAAAAACGATAATATAAAAATTCTAACAAAACAATTCTATCAATTAACAGTCTGATCTTTAAGTTGTAGTTCTTTAAAAAATGTATTTAATTGCTACTTTTGTCATGTTTCTTGTTTCCTTTAACATCTGTTTGTGGTGAATTACCTTGGTTTCTTTATTATTACTGTAATATTGTGAAATATTATTGCTATTTCAAACAGCTGTTTTCTATGTGAATATGTGTTAAACTGTAATGTATTTCTGTGATGCGCAGCTGTATTTTCAGCATCATTACTCCAGTCTTCAGTGTCACATGATCTTCAGAAATCATTCTAATATTCTGATTTGCTGCTCAAGAAACAGTTCTGATTATTATCAATGTTGAAAACAGTTGTGCTGCACAATATTTTTGTGGAAAGTTGTCCTTGCTGAATAAAATTATTAATGTATTTTAAAAAATGAATGGTTGTGTACATTTCTCGTAGAAAGCAATAAAGAAATGAAGCACATCCTATAAAATTAAAAACCATGAACTGTCAGAAATGTTTTGTTTTCTTTTGCCAAAATTACAGGAACAATTTTTGCAAATTTTTTTTTTCTGAGAATGTCTAAAAAGAGAACATTTTAGAAAATAATATCATTTTAAGAGTTAATTAATCTAAAGAAATAACTGTGTTATGACAACTTGATATTAAAAATTCAGTCATGGAATACACTTAAAACTGTAAAATGAATTTAGTTATTTATTAACATAGTTAACAAGACAATATTAATATTATCCTCTCTGTACCCTGGTACCTGCAGTACTTGTTTGCAGGATTATTATAGTTAACTAAAACTGCAATTAAAATTAAAACCATGAAAAACAATTTCCGTTACTTGAAATAAAATTAACGTTAACTTAAAAAAAAAAACAGTTTTGTTTCCATGCAGAAGCAGTTGGAATGAGGTTTCCTAGCATTAATGCATGACAGCATTCATCCGTCATTATTACTGTTTCCTGGCAAATCTGCCATACCTATTAATATCTGATGTCTTAGTTTGAGTCATTTTGTTTGGCATTATGTCTGTTTGGTTCTGCAGCACCGGCAGGTTACTTAATATTAACCTCCTGTTTAGTGAAATGTTGTATAAAAACAATATCAGACTTATAATCATGTATCAGTGCAGCTCTGATTAGTCAGCATGAATGTGAATGTAATTCTGCATTGATATATTGTGTCAGTAAATGTGTTTGAAGGGTTAAAGAACAGAATAACCGTGGTATTTGAATGCTACTCACTGTATCAGTGCACCATCCACATTTAGCCCCCACTTGTATGCACTCGCCACAGGATAAAGCGTTGGCTTTGATGCACTCGTTGCCCTCTGCAGAACAGGAGAGACGGAGAGCATTTCACATCTACAGCTTCGATTCATTTCCATCACTCCGGCTCGCTGTAATTGGAGCCAGAGATGACTACTCTATGTTTTCCATTAAGGATAATGCTCCGACCGCGCTGGGTGGAGCGTGCTCTGAGTAATGACATCAGTATTTAACCGCTCGCTCTGGAGAGAGAACGATTAGTTATCCTCACAGAAACCCAGCGCTTATTAATTCTGAAGCAGTCGGACAGAGTTACAGTACACTGGACAGAAATACACTGAATTAGCATTAGAAACAACAGTGATCTGAGAGTTCATCACATTACCTTGCTGTGCGCTGCTGCAACAAATGATCCCTAATAATGTTATGAAAAGTAGCTTCAGGTCCATCTACAACAAAAAGACAACAATTATAAGCAGTGGATTCACTTTCAAAACAAGCAGTAGGCTAACAGTATAAACTGTAATATATAAATATATGATTTAACATGACTGAATGAACCTGAAATCATTGGACTATGACAAAACATTACATGATTTTTTTGGACATGGTATAATGGTAATGCCTTGTTTCCTTTCTTTCTTTCATTTTTTTTGTGTTTTTTTTTGTTTCTGCATGCTAATACTATGGTATTTTTGAAATATCTTTCACTACTATATGAATAGCATACATGACCATTACAATCAATAATGATTGGGTAACTTAACTTACTGCTTTTGAAGATTGTTGATGTAAATTACATACATATCACCTGAGGACGGCTTCCCTATTTTTGTTTGCTGTTATTTTGCTGGTTTTCTTACATCACTCCAGGGTTTCCCAGTGGTACTAGAGCAGGAACGCATATGAGCTTTAATTCTATTAACAAACTAAAAGACATAGAATGAAATGTGTATATGCACTACATGTTAGCTTGCTTATTTTGCTCAAGTGCATGATCTATTTAAGTCCACGTCATACTAACAAGAAACTACACTTCTAGCCACGGTTTGAGAGCTGTAGTTCAACCACACAACTTTGCGATGTTTTTTTTTTTTTTCAAATGTTCTTGGAACTTTGTATTCAGGAAATACTAAATCATTGAACTATGTTGATAACACTATAACCTGCGACCATAGTTGTCTAATTATGCTTTTGGAAAACACAAATCACGTATTGTCTGTGTTTTCTACTTTTGGTTCAGTGTTAATCAGTCAAGCCCCTCTTGTTCCTCATTTTCTCCCTCATTTGTCTTGTGTATTTATACTGCTAGTTTTGTTCAGTTCTTTGTCTGTTCTCATCATAGTACATTTACCAACTCTCCTTGTCTTCGCAACCTCACTAGCTATGTTTCCAATCAAATTGTGAATTTAACTTAAAGGTCCCATATACAGTACTAGGGACCACTTAGGCCTATATAAAAGCATCTAAAAAGCAGCATGTCATGGGACCTTTAACAGTATGCACAAAATTGGAATATGGCATAAAAATAAAGCACTGTTTCCATCCAGCGAGACAAAGAGAACAAAATAGTCACTTACTGATCAACTGGCACCAAATATCACTAAGAAAAAGGTCTTTTGCTGCAGTAGGAGAAGCTACTGTGGGTCTTTTTTCATAGAAAATGAATTACTTGCGCCTCAGAGCATGCAGGCGAAATGCAATAAATGCGGTCATGTTTTATCTTGCTTTCAGTCATGTTATGCCATCCCATTGCGTAAAGTCACATGACTTTTTAAATGTGCATTGAGGAATTTATTCAGTAAATGTGTTTCCATCTAGTTCATGTTTTCTCATTGGATAAAAAATTCATCCAACTCAGTTGAGCACATGTGTTTTTTATGTGCATTTTTAGAATTTATGCACATCTTAAGTGTTTCCATTCGGCCTTTTTTTATGCCATATCCCAAAATGCGCATAAAAATTGGTTTTACTGCTCATATTTTCAGAGTGATGACCTTGAGTTCACTGGAGGTCATAAACCTTCATCACCCAACAGAGCTCATCTATTCTCAGCTCCTGCAAGAGGAACCGCTGGGCTAATTTAAATACCGCCTCTCAGATGCCATTCCTGGGTAAGTGTAACCATCATTCACTGCTCAGACTGTTTCCTAGTGG